CTATTATAGCGTCCGTTCACACTGGCCGCCGGATCAAAATTCGGTCTGGATGACATTAACCAGATAGTCGTATTATCTTTTTAAAAATTGTTAAAGTAAGCAATTTAGATACTCAAAGTGGTGAGATTGGTATTTTTATAGCGCCACTACACGGTCTGTTACTTATATCGCATGTCAAAAAACCTTAATAGGCAATTTCTCGTAGAGAGAGGGTCGTGGTCTAATGTTGTGCATGTGAATCCATTTTAAATTGTTTTTAAGTATGTGACAGCGCGAGGTAGACATTTTATCGATATTTTAAAACAATGTGAGCACATCCTTATCGCTAACCCTCTAATCTACTACCACTAATAAAGTAGCAAGTTTTTATTAGCCGTTACTAAATTCTAATGGCGTGTCAGAAGCTCGGCAGATACTGTGCAAGCAGTTTTTTTACGATATCGCTAAAGGCTGAAAAACAGTTTTATTACCTGCTTTCAATAAAACCTTTGCTGATCTACGCTTTGAAATATATATATATATATATATATATATATATATATATATATATATATATATATTAAGTTATAGTGATAGTGCATGCTGTGTTTACTAGTAAGTAGTCACTATACTTAGCTTAAGATAGATACTTTTCTGTTATTTAAGATTGTTGTTGTGTAAGTTGACTGTTAGTAAGCCATATGAACAAAATAAAGTAATATATAATTCTTGTGTCCTTGTGGATGTGACTGAACTCCTCCTAAATTCAATTTTGTGTGTGTGATAAAGTTGATTCTCGAATCGACTTCATCACACACACAACATTCTCAAATTATTTAGATTCACAATTCAACCCGGTAGGTGGCGCTGGTGTCGAGATCCAAAAATCTTCCCATGCGAAGCTGTGGCGAATAGCTAGTATCTATATATTAATACGTGAAGGAAAGATTTTGTATCCCTTATTTTGGCATATTGTGAGCACGGAGGAGAAAGTTTTGATTGTATTCTTACGAGTATTTGTCTTCCTCATATTCTAGGTTTCGAATAATCCTGCAGTGGCGGTGTAAGAATACCCACTAACCCATACCAATGGATATCCTCTGTGGGTGACAGAGGTAACTAAAAAAAGGATGAGCAGCAACATCTTCCTGATAACAACTAAAAATTATAAACAAACTGCGGTCGCCAACCCGCCTGCTAAGCGTGGCAACTATGGCAAAATCCTCCCGATGAGGCTCCATGGGGGAGGATTATGTTTAGCAGTGGACGTTTACAGGCTGTAATAAATGGATGGATCGATATCTTAGGTTTCACATCTGTGGCGGCGCCGTAAGCAAAACACATCGAAGCCTAAATCGCACTATTAAAGTTCTGAAGTAAAAATAGTATTAATATAGAATAGCTCCGAACTACCACTCGGATCCTGATTACGATAGTGGTTTAAGCTGAGGTTCGTACCTCCTTAAGAGGGGTCCTTGAATCTCATCGAGCCCCCCTCACTCCCACCCTAGCTAAAACCTCACTCCAAAAGCAGGGGCCGGGGTACCTCGGGACTGCATTCAGTTTCACTCAATAGCTCACGAGTCTATTTCGATTAAGCTGTAAAGGCCGCAGGGCCAACAGTATACACTTTCAGGAAAAAATACACTCGGAGCGTTTTCCGCTCCCCGGGCAGAACACCTTGCCCGGCGGGAGATCTCCCTTTTTCAATCCTACGGCCAAACATCCATTATATTTCTGTTCGATTGTAGGAATGTCGATGTACTAGATAAAAAGTTACAGTCTATTCACATCCCACTCCAAGACATAGACTCCTCTCATTTTTGAAGGGGGTTGAGGAAGTGTCTACCACGCGGCGCCAATGCGTGTTGGCAAACTTCACATGGAATTTTTTTTTATAGCTAGGCTAGGCTCATAGACATCTGCATCTATCCTCGATTACGAATCAAAATGCAGATGCGTTGTCACCCGTGAGGACTAAGATGGTGCCTCGTTTCCAGTAAAAATAGTCTCCATTTCTCTACACTCACCATACGAAACACAGCAGCTTTAGGCTGCTATTTCAATTGCCACAGATTACTGCATCCACTAAGTCAAGCGGGTGCTGTAAGACGCGACAGTGGGACAAGGAGACAAGAAAGAGGAGGGGGGAGGGGGTGTAGTGGTATAACTATATTGTATAGATGAGATGAAGTACACCCAGACCGGTGGCATAGAACAGCTTCAATGATAGTAGACGTATGGCAATGGGATAGCCAACATGCCGCCAGGAAGAGTCATTAAGGCAAATCCGTCCATACGTGATACAGCTATATTATGTTGCAGCTATATTATGGTTGTAAGTAAAATATCAGCTTAACTACTACTAACACTGATTAAAACTACTTAGAGTTTTTTTTTTTAAACGGGAAAAAGTTTTAATACTGCTGTGTTTCGTATTGTGAGTGTAGAGAATCGGAGACTCTTTTTATTGAAAGTGATGCATTCCATCTTAGTCGTCAGGGTCTCAATGTTTATGAACCACAGCATCCACTTACCATCAGTTGGACTGTATGCTTAATTGTCACCCTTATGTTCCTTAAAAAGTCGTATATTCCAGATGATAAACACTCAGCCCGACATGTATACCTTAGAAGCATGGAACAGCTTCTAAGGTATACATGTCAATGCAGTTGACCGCTATGGTAAATCCAGTGTACTGTTAAATAAAAAAGCATCACTATCTAAAAATTGATAAGTTTTATATGTTTTATATGATAAGTTTTGTTTGTATTCACAGTTAGCTACCGTGGCCAAATCTTTGTTACAGAGAGCACAAGGGATCTGTGACAGTAAACACCTGGCCGCCGAGCTTCAGCACGTCAAGCAAGTTCTGCACGTATACGTGCACGATGTATTGACAGTCTCGATTCGAGTACTTTGGGGCGATCCAGAGCAAAGAATCATTAATAAGAGCGATTAGGTCTACATTAGTCAAACAATTATCTGGCCTTTAAAAGGAATTAGGACCTGTAAGGGCGGTTAGGGCATTTATTAATATCAGACCAAATTACACCTTAAAGCTTTATGTTTAGATTTATTTTTAACTGTCAGTCGATTGTCAAAAAATCATGAAACGATCCAGGGTTAAGGAGCTTAGAGCCACAATAAGTACGACATCATCCTTAGAACAAATATGGGGTCGCTCGTTTTTCTATACCATATTGAAGATATTGTGTCAATATGAGTCGTCGGGAGCTAATACTGTCATAAAAAAGAAATAAAAACATTTTTCCATACATGTACTTAAATGAAAAATAAGTTTAAGTAATAAATAAGGTACATGAGGATAATGTGGTTACCCTAAACTTTACCTCCATATAAAATTAAAACTAGGAGATGGACAGAAACAAAAACACAAAGTCGTATACTATATAATATACGACTTATATATTAAGAAAAAAATAGCAAACAAGCCTTGGCAATAGAAAAAACTAACTACACTACACCATACTAAAATCGATAAAAATATTTACTATAGTATCAACTGTCAAAATGGCGTCGATAAAGCAAGCGTCCTTTTGAACCTTTATTATTTGGTTAACTGATGAAGAGCTATACTAACCCTCTATAGATAACCTCCGAGCTATACCCTCACGAACTATATATTATATTTGCCGTGCAACGGTGGTGTAAAGAATACCACGGTTACCGTTACAGCATATTAAGCTCCACTGCTGAGCACAATACATCATTGATTTCCTCATAGGGGGACATTTGCATTGTTGCCATGCTAAGTGGGTTGGCAATCGCAGTTTTTATATTTTCAGTGGTTAAGAAGAGGCTGTGTACATTGCCTGATTTATTTTCGTCTGTTACGAGATCCACGGGATTCTATGGGGTAATAGATATATTTACCCTGCCACATATATATATATATATATATATATATATACATATATAATAATAACGATAGAGCAAAGTATTAGCATCTTAAATATATCAATATGTTTGTTATAATAATAATAATCCCTCCCTGCTGTATTTTGCTAAGAATGCAACCTCCGTAGCTGTACTTAGGCTTTGAGCAAGAAAAGAACCAGCCCTCTTGTCACCAATGTCAACAACAAGTTACAAATATAGCTCCTTTAAGATATAACATAATATGGACAGTCACATCAACCTCACCACATAATGTGGACCTACAAACCAATAGTCTATAGCAAATGGTATAAATATGTAATCATCATTCAATTACTTTTCACAATACGCGATCAAATCGGGTTCGATCCCCGCCGGCACCAATGAAATTGTTAATTGCAATTTTAAGTGCTGATTTACCACGTGCTCGTCGGTGAAGGAAAACATCGTGAGGAAACCTGCATGTCTGAGAAATAATAAAAAAATATTTCGAAGACATGTGAAGTTCGCCAACACGCATTGGGGCAGCGCAGCGGACTATTCCTTGCCCTAAAACCCTCTCAGACATGAGAGGAGGCCTGTGCCCAGCAGTGGGACGTATATAGGCTGTAACTTTACTTTACTTCACTTTACTATTCAATTACTTTATATTTTCATTCACTTTATTTGTTATAGAATCTGCTACATACATTTTACTTTTTGTTGGGATGCTATATATACGGTGCACTACACGGTGTGGATATTGGGTAGTGGTATGTTATAGAATATTAACACTATAAAATATCATCACGCGGATGTCGTAAGAGACGACAGAACGAAATGATACAAGAGACAACATCAGTCTCTTGATAACAACACAAAATAATAAAAAGAAAAAAATATATCATGAGAAATTTGCGGTTTCCAAAGTACGAGGCATTCTTTTAGGAGACAATGAAAATTCAATAGGCTTTAATTAATTATGGTTAAACCGTCATGATTATCTAGGTATTTCCCTAGATTATCATCTCATGGTCCCCATTAACGAAGGTGGGACATTTTCTTAAACCAACCAACCAACACAAAAACCAAGTATGCTACTTATCAGGTTACTTAACTTATAAAAGAACAAGGTTACTTACCAGTACAGGTAGCTGCACCATTGGTCTCTGAAAAGAAATAATAATATTGTAAATAATAACGATTGTATTAAAAAAAATTACAGATGATACGACTCATTTTTTGTCTAGGACTGTGACTAAAATAGCAGGATGGACAATTCAGTATCCACTTACTATCAGTTGGACTAAGTATAAGTTCCTTTATCACCAGTAATAAAATAAGAAATATAGAAAAAAATAACACATAACAAATACATGACACCCATAACATACGCACAGATAATTTAATGTTATAAAAACATAGGTAGTAATGAGTAACAATATTGTAAATACGAAGGTGACACTGAAAGTTCTTAGAAAATCAAAAACTGAACTTGCAAGTTATAAATTTTATTATATATTTTCAAAATAGTGTCCATTTACATAAATACATCGCTGCATTAAATGGAATCACTGAGAAAAGCACTTTGCCCACTCGTCCTTAGGGGTCTCTTGCTGCTTCCCCGGCGTCTATGGAGTGTAGAAGTAAGGAGTACAGACTGTGTATTAAAAAGTATCCATAGAAAACCGCCGCTATAACTACGGGCTAAATTTTAAAGAACGCACCGAAAAATATTAGTGGGATAGACGATTTTTTCGAGGTTATATTTACTAAATAAAATTATTTTAGATTTTAGAGCTACTGAGCAGTTTAGCAGCACACTTAAACCGTCGACAACTGCTAAGTTTATTTCATCCCAGTAGGTACTCCAGCGCTATAGGGCGTGTGACCCAGTAATTCCACGACTGACGTCGCCAAGTAGAAGTAGAGAAAGAGGATCGTACTGCGAGGTCGTTTCTCCCGAACTTTTTGCAAGACAAGTGGCAAACGATTGTCAATGTACCATTCTGCAGTAACTGTTTTTCGATCCTCTAAAACAATTGTTGCCTAATGACCTGTCCTTCCGAAGAACGAGTCCAACATTTTTTCCCCACACTTCGACCTCTCTTCGCTTTAGTTGGCAACTCCTCGGAAGGGAACACCCAGACAGCAGACTGTCTCATAGTTTCAGGATCATAACAATAAACCCAGCTTTCGTCACCCGTAAGTATGTCGAACACAGCATTTGAGTCACCTCCGTTAAATCTTTGAACCATTCCACGACACCAATAAACACGACGGAGTTTTTGGGCGTGGTCAAATTATGACGTATTCACCGGGCACAAAGCTTCCTGACCGCTAAAATTTCATGGAAGATTTTGTGCACTTGACTCATACCGATGCCTAAGCTTGTCCAAATCTGCTGATAAGTCACTTTTTTGTCAGTCTTTATCATACGCCACACAACATTGATGTTATCTTCAGTCGTCGCCGTAGGAGGCAGACCCTCACGCAGATCATCGGGGAGATTAATGCGACCACGTTTAAAGTCATTAAACCAGTTGTAAACAGTGGCACAAGATGAGACTTCATCGCGAAAAGCCAATCGAAGTCTATTATAACTAATCTAACTTTATTGTTGACTTAAATGACATCGAAAGTCATAAAAAATCATTGTACGAAAATTTTCTCGCGTTAAATTCATGCTGACGTGACACAGACAATTTTCAATTTGCCGCCAAATCGTAAATCAAGGACAAATATTAATTAAAATACATTCACAGTAATATTGGCAAAGAGTTCCATTTTCAAAATTTGAACTTATTTTTTTATTATATCGTTTACAAGTGGCCACTTCTAAAAACTTTCAGTGTCGCCCTCGTAAATCATAAATAATAAATAAATTGTGTGACGTGTAATGGCGGCACTTGAAAATCTACTACTTCATGTCATACCACGGGTATACTAATAGGCGACAAAGGGAAATAATCAATACTTTATAAAACTATTGATGAACAGCAACACTTTCTAATAACAACACACAAAAATGCGGTCGCCAAAGAGCATGCTAAGCGTGGCACGTACGGCAAATATCCCCTCTATTTATTGGGGAGGATGATGATGACATGATGACAGCAGTTTACTTTTGATAAGCTGCTGTAGTAAATAAATTAATTGTTGAAAAATTTATAATAACCATAAAAATAAATACATAACAGAAATAAATATTTATATTTGTTAAGGTTTACATTCACTGGGCGCAAGCACCAATATTTTATAGAAATAATGTTGACATATGAACACACAGTCCTCCTGTCTACTATATGTGGATGGTGTGGCTTCTAGACGTCTTCATCTGTCCTCATTAAAACCAAAATGCATATGTGTTGTCACCACTATGAACTTAGATAGAACGCCATGTTACCAGTAAATAGATTTTCCGGTTCTCGTCATTCTCCAAACAAAAACTATAATTACGCTATTTCCGATATTACGGTAATTATTGTGTTAAAAAAGGTTCTTCGATATTACGCGAGCCATTCGCGCTACAGCTCAATTAAGCCCAGCCACAGAAATCGTAATAATATTGTCTATTATTACGATTTCTGTGAGCCCAGCTCAATTTTACAGAGTATGACCGCGTGACAGATTTATTAAAACGTATAAATTTAATATCTGGCCCAGATACACGCGCGGTCAAGGAACGATCGGGTTCGCTGATTTTGGCAATGTTTCTCATGCGTTCATTATCTAAAAGCATGATCTTAAAGTAAACAAAAATTGTATCTATATTGTACGGGCCAAATCTATGTTTACTTTTGACGCCTACATGATTTTGTAAGTGTGTCAAGTAATTTACACAGCGCGGCTCGATGGACCAACGGATCTCAGTAGAATTCGAAAATAGAATAAATATGTTTTTTTTTGTCATTGAAGTAATATGTACTTACGTACTAGAACAGCTATCTCAAACAAAAAATGTGCGCTACTCTGTGTTCGCGCGGTTGGTTTTTTTTATCATAGAATAAACATAGGTAGAATGATCAGTAGGTAATAGTAGATTACATTGTTAAATAGGTAAATTATATCAAGAACAATATTTAAAATTTGTCATTTATTTTGTATATTACATTTGCTTATTTAATATAATATTACATAATATTATGTCACAATACATTTTAATGATATTTTTATGTGAATATTTTAAAAGGTATCTACGTTAAATATAAAAGAAAAACATACTAAATGTGTATTTAACAAAACTTATTAACATAACATTTAAATTACAAATATATTTATTTAAATTAGAATAAGAGTCGTTCATAAATGCTAGACACGAGAAAGTTAAAAATGGACGAATTTATTCTACTTTGACTTTGAAGTGGAAACCTAAAAATGAAATAAAAGAATAATAAGCAGATTTAAACATAAAAAATTTAGCCTAATTATTATAACTTATATATATTTCTACAAAAAAATGTGTATAATAATATATTCGTCCTATACTTAAGTACCCACAGAAATGTCACATCTGAACATATTAATTTCATAATCTATATTTCATGACACGAGATGGCGTCTTAGCAATAATTTGTTTTATTATTATTCTATAATACTTTTTACGGATTTAGACCTGGAAGAGGATGCACGGATCAAATGTTTTCTCTCCGCATGATCACGGAAAAGCTTCTGAGTGTTAACCAGAGGATTTTCAGTGCTTTTGTGGATCTGGAGAAAGCATTTGATAAGGTTATAAGGAACAAAATGCGGGAACTGTTGCCGGGATATGGTGTGGATACTCGATTGTTAAGGGCTGTGCAGTCACTTTACTATGACTGTAAAGCCTGTGTGCGGGTAGGGTATGACCTGTCACACATGTTTAGCGTCCAAGCGGGCGTAAAACAGGGTTGTGTCATGTCTTCCTGGCTGTTCATACTGTATCTCGACAGCTGTTTACAAAACCGAAAAATAGCTGTTTGGGTGTGAAATTGGGTGACATTAAAGTAAATTGTCTGCTGTATGCTGATGATGCAGTGCTTATTGCACCATCAGAAGCAGAACTGCAGGCATTAGTCACGTGTATGAAAGAGGAATGTGAAATTAAAGGTCTCCGTTTGAATGCTAATAAAACTAAGGTTCTGGTATTTGAAAAGGAAGAAGAGAGAACGAAATGTGAAATATGGGTAAATCAGGAATGTCTAGAACAGGTAAATGAAATTGTATACTTGGGGAGTGCTTTCAGCCGGGATGGAAGATGTGATTTAGATGTGGATAGGCGTGTCGCTGCCGGAAACAAAGTCAATGGTGCCCTGCAAAAGGAAGGCGTGAAGAGCCGCCTTCAATACATAACGCAGTGTTGGTACCGACTTTGTTATATGGCAGCGAAACCTGGGTATGCCAGAAGAAGCATAAAAGCAAGTTGAATGCAGTGGAGATGCGATCTCTTCGTAAAATGTGTGGGTTTTGCCATAGCTGATCGAAAGCGAAACGAAGAGATTCGCAATATGGCAGGATTGAAAGATGACCTTATCACAAAAATTGATAGGGGCATACTCCAATGGTTTGGGCACGTTGAGCGAATGAGTGAAGACCGAATGGTGAAGAAAATATATAGAGCGAAATTAAATATTAAAAGGTGTCGAGGTAGACCGAGACTAACTTTTGAAGACCATGTGAGCAAATTGCTCGAAGAGGGGAAGGTCAAGAGTACTCGGATACCTAGACGTGCATGTATGAAGAAGTTAATGAACCTGAAAGAAGCGAAAGAGCTATGTAAGGATCGTGACACTTGGCGATCTGTTCTCTCTGACTACCCCGTTAGGGATTGTGCGTGAAGATAAGTAAGTAAGTAAGTATAATACTTTTTTATTGATTAAATATCTTATTAACCGATGAAAAGTAATTCCCTGATTTTTACTGACATTTCTTGAATAATTTGTGCAATATCTGAGTACACACGATATATTATTATCAAGAGGCATATTTTTATCAAGAGATTTTTTAAATCAACACAACACGTGTCAACTCTACAAGCGACTAGCGAGTGAATGATTAAAGTGCGGTGTATGCACCGCAGTTGAGTGGAACATAGTAGTACTCTAGTACGTAGTACGTTATAGCTCAATGTTTTTTGTTATAATTTTAACGTGACAAGTCAACTGCTTTCCACCTGTTTTTACATAGCTCC